GGCAAAGCCTGAACCATTCTCCCTTTCCCTTTGTACTTTACCCCTCATCTTTGTCCTCTTCCCGTTCTCTACTTTCAATTTAGGCACCAATTAACATCCTTTGTTAATTGAATTCTTATATAGAATGATGAGACAAAACATGACCACGTACTGGTGAAACATCAGGAGTCTTTGTGCGTGTGTTTGTGGCAGGCATGTGTGTGTGTGTTGGGAATGGTGTGTGGCAGGCGTGTGTGTGAGGCGTGTGTATGGCAGGCGTGTGTTTTGCTGACCTGATAACTGTATTGATTAACCTTCTGATATCCCAATAGAACATGTTTGCTCTGTTTAGCCGCTATTGACCGTGCCCCCATCTGTCATGACTTTATATCACTGCTATAACACCATCATCAGGGGACTTTTAAATGCTGTGCACACACCATTGACTTGCGTGTGTGTGTGTGTGTGTGTGTGTGTGTGTGTGTGTGTGTGTGTGTGTGTGTGTGTGTGTGTGTGTGTGTGTGTGTGTGTGTGTGTGTGTGTGTGTGTGTGTGTGTGTGTGTGTGTGTGTGTGTGTGTGTGTGTGTGCGTGCGTATGTGTGTGTCAACAACATCGCTAAGTATACAGGCTAATATTTAGTTGAAATCAACTTGGCCGTCATCATCATGCAACTATATTTTTGGACAGACGACAATGTTGTTATGAGCTAGCAAAGTCTATCAATAACAGCTAGCAATGTTAACGTTAGCTAGCAAATATTCAGTGGACCTTTGTATTAAATGGCTAGTTACTATGCCACTGCCATAGTGCGTCAACCCTGAGAGCTGTACTGTAGAATACATGATCACTAACCTCAACCCTCAGTCTCTCAGGGCTTTCACTGTCTGCATATTAACAAAGCTTTCAGACCACAGAAAAATCGCAACCTACCTCAACCAAGCAGTAATTAGGCAGGAATCATCCAATGTCAAGAAACTGCATACAAACAAAGAACGCTAGATGGTAGTTCAGTCAAAACCGACTCAAGAGCTTTTCGCCCAAATCAAATTGTCTCTGCTGAAGAACTTTCAAAATAAATTGTTTCCCCGATGTAGTTAAGGAGTTAACAATTGACACCAGTGATACATGGTTATACAAGGAATGTAAAAATCCAAGAAACGACAAAACTAACCAGGCGATTAGACATATACCCAGATAACCAGTACACGCAATAGGGGCACTACAGCTATTAAGTATTACACAAAGCCTGGGATGTTGGATGAAAAGGACCCCAAAAACATGTTCCTGTCTTTAGAATTTTGTGTGGAAACAGTTAAGATGTTTCGTGATGTGTCTGATCACAGCATGGATGCAGTTTATTCTTGCAACTCGACAGACGAATCAATCTCTTAAAGGGAATTGTCTTTTAGGATTGATTGATTGAATTGTTCTTGCCGCTTCTGAAAAAAACGATTCATTTTTGAAGTAATGACAGTAGATATGACAAACATACTGTGTGTTGCTTGATCATTGGCCAGCGGTTTAAAATAATTGCTAAATAGCGTTATGGTCAACGAGGTGCCGCCCAGGTTGCGCACCAGTATGGTATTGGGTCACGACTCAGACCTGGCTAATGAATTGCTGCAGGGTAGCCCTGTGAGAGAAGGAAATAGGCCGGCGTCCCCTTGGGCTCCTGCCAAGCTAGCTGAGTCTGCCAGGTCTGTTTGCTCGTGTACAACATGTTGGTTCCAAAGGGATCAATCTATTGTTATTAGAAAAAATTATGTTATGCCAGATACAGACAACACGCAACAAGTTTTTCCGCCGGCAATTACTTATCTGCTTGTCCGTCAAGGCTGTTTTAAAAACTTGATTCTGTGCTCCAGTGTTTTGGATGATTTTACACCATTTTGTCTCTTGATACAGGCAGACATATGTTGCTCTTAAATCTCCCAGTACTTGACACAGTGATGACACAGTGATGACACAGTGATGTCAAGACACAGTGATGACACAGTGATGTCAAGACACAGACAAATAGTGTTGAACTATTGATGTAACACTGTAGTGGCACTTTCAATGCATATGCTTACATTATGGCACTATTCGATGCTACCTACGCTTTAAGCATACATTCAGAGAAGGTAGGGGCAAATTTGTGTACTAAAACAAGTGGTTATCTAAAGAATGTCACACTGTGGGCTTCCTAATTGGACTTCTACCCTTGCTGTGGCTGAAGCAGGATGGATTGACCTTTACCCTTGCTGTGGCTGAAGCAGGATGGATTGACCTTTACCCTTGCTGTGGCTGAAGCAGGATGGATTGACCTTTACCCTTGCTGTGGCTGAAGCAGTAAGGATTGCCCTTTACCCTTGCTGTGGCTGAAGCAAGATGGGTATACAACTGTGGGTGCTTGTGTTTCTGCCCTTTGGCTGTTTTCCAGTGTGTCACCAACAGCCATCGGCTAAAGAGAGAGGGAAGGAGAGGAGATCGTGAACGAAGAGAGAGAGAGAGACATCCAGAGAAGTGCGGGGGATAGAGAGAACACGAGAAATCAAATGTGAGATGGAGCAATGATGAGAGTGTGACAGGTAGAGAGAACGAATTTGCGCTCTTCTGGAAGTCTACATTGTGAATTCTGATTGCCATGCTTTGCGGTTCTGGAATGGACCTAGGAAACAAGACACAGAGGTCTGGGGATCTGATAGTTATACAGGAGCCACACACACACCCACACATCTGCAGGCACACTGGCTTGTTTAGACCAACCTACTCTCAGGGGAGGTAAGAGGACTTGAGGCTGTGCAAATTAAATGGGCACTTCAACAGTCAGTGCATCTGATACATATTTATGTCGACAACGGGGGAATATGAAAATATAACAGTTCAAGCTGTTACCCTCATTATGTTTAAACCGGAGGATTGCCGTTGCCATGAGTTGAAAAAAGGTTAACACGTTATATTGGACTGGATAATATAATATATAATATTTTAGACAAACAATTGCCGTTTGCTATTAGTCTCAGGGCTAGTGAGAGCACGGCCTGTCAGATGGTCTATGGTTCTGTTTTGTATCACCAAGCTGACCACCACAGTCCAAGTTCGAGCATTGCCTGTGCCTTAGCAGATGAATGAAGGGGAGCCCAATGTGCAATCCGAAATATCTCTGGGAGGGGGGAGGGGTTGTCAGAAGGTCTTCTGCTCTTATGACTCCCTCAGAGAGGGTTATAAAAGGCCTTACTTCGTAATTGGAATCCTAGCAAAAAAAAAGTAAAATCTGTGGTTGTTATTGCTAAATGTAATTGTTTATTAGCTTGATCTCACACTCGAAGAAACCAAATGAATCCAACCAACGCTCCTAGAGAAATTATCTTTATAGCACAATTATTGGCAAACCTTGAGTGTAAGATCAAAGGGATAAAAAACAATGACAAAACATTCACTTTTTTGTTCATTATTACATAGGGTGCCAATCGTTTTGGAAAGCGCTATATATATTTTTCACTCCAAAACATTTCTCCTCTAATAGATCTACTTCACCCGCTGCACAATTCTCAAAGTGAACTAAGATACAATATTTTTTTCTTAAATGTAAAATTAGGAGGTACAAATGCATAGAATATGTCTCTACATTTCATAACAGTATTTTAAGGTTTCAATGACTTGGTAGAACATTCTGCCAATTCGGCATTTTCTTCAAGCAGATTTTAGTCACAATGAAGAGCATTTAGGAAAACAAAACACCTCTTAGGATTGTGAAGCCATTATTCTGTGTTTTTGGCATACACATTGGCCCAAATGTATTTATTTACTTCATGCCCCGATTTAGCTCTTTTTAGACGTAGGCGGGTTTTGCTATTTATTTTCTCTTTTCATATGTGGTTTGATCATAACAAACATCTTATTCCTTGCCTGTAATAAGTATGACGCTGTAACCAGAAAACATAAAAATATGAAGACGTCCAGCAGTGCATCGAATGAAAAGAATTTCCGACCAAATATCAACAATGATGATTTTTTTTATTCATATTTTTATATGTATACGTTTTTTTGAGGCCCAAATATGTGGTAGGGGGAGGGGCTGTGTACAAAAGTGCAGTCATTTCCAAACGGTTTATCCGATATGTATGAAAATACCCTAAAATTAAAGATGGCAGATCGGCACTTTAACTGTCATAGTATTCTTTCAAACTCAAAAGCTCAGCTACACACAATACCCCATAATGACAAAGTGGAAAAAAGTTAGTTTAATATTTTCCGTAGATTTCCAAGATAGAATAGAAGTTATTGCGATATATTATTAAGGGTAATTGGGTTGACTTATCACAATACAGATTTTTCTTGATATCACACAGCTCTAGTTTGACATATTGTGTTATAGCTAAGCAGACTTCCTTATATGGTCACTGTGAGTCCCTGGCTGGAAACGGCATGTCAGGAAGTTCTAAATATAATGGATGTTGTTACTAACAGGACATTAGGCAATGTACCTACTGACCCAGACACACGCATGGTTGGATTCGTTCACACGCGCGCACGCGCACACACACACGCACACTACCTCGACGCAATGTCTCAGAGAAAGAAAACGAAATATTATATCAAAAGGAACGCAGTGTACTGTAGTCATCCAGTTTCTCATTTTAAAGGGATGGACTTTTTTGTTTTGACTACTTATCAGTCGGGGTACTGTCGGGAATATGAGTAGCTCATGTGTACATCACGGGTACATGTATTGCAGGGAATCAGCGGGTCCTTAAAAAAACTTTAATTAATTTAATTAAATAAAACGTATTAAAAAGTCTTAAACTGTCTTATTTCACCTTTTTTAAATGTCTATTAGCTGCTTTTCTTCCAACACTGTTGTTGGTGAGGTAGATAGCTAGCTAGATAGATAGATAGCCTCCAACAAATGCCTGGCATTTCTCAGTACTTTTTAGGAGATTTGTAAGATTTTCAAATGTATTGTTTTACTACTAATTACTTAATATCACCTAACGTAAAGTCATACTAGTATCATACTTTATGTACTTATTCGGGAGGAGTTTGTAGCTCAGTGGTAGCGTGCATTGCTTTGAACGTATGATGTGCTGGATTCAATCCCCAGCGTCTCCCAGGTCGCCGTAGCAAATGAGAATTTGTTCTCAATCGGCCTATCTGGTTAATTAAAGGTTAAACAAAATAAAAATAATATGTGCTCGACTTGTGTGTCCCAGATTAATATACACACTGTACCAATCAATTATTTTGTGAATAAGAAGCAAATTATCAGTGTAGATTTTCTCCTGTTTAGCATTGTTTTAGATTTATTATGAGTCATTATGAGACAGATTATGTTTGATCTGTAATCAGAGAGAAGAAAAGGCGAAGTCTTGTGTGTGTGTGTTGTGAAAAGAACATTCTCTCAAATTTTCGGCCTTGTTGGTCTCATCTGCTCTGTATCACTGACGCAGGGCGTGTGTTGTGTGGGTTGTTTATATGTGCGTGCGTGTGTGTCCTCCGTATTGTGTGATACAGTAGGAATTAAAATGGCAGCTGGGCACTGAGAGTGTCAGATGTGATAACTGTTGGTCTGTCTCACAGAATCACATCACAGCGTACGGAGACACACTCACAGACCAACCTCATCTGGAACAGACAGACAAATCTCTCCAGAATTACTGTCATGAAACAAGTTACGATGTTTACCGTCGACATCTATATAAATATCAGTTTACATCAATACGGTCTCCAGTAACAACTGTTCTATAGAAATCTGGCCGTTTGAACCATTCTCAGCACATTGAACCTTCAAACCTGTCACAGACGACGTAGAGAAACAGAATCAATATATATAATCTGATACTGTTTGATAGTGGGCAGGAATGGATATTAAGTCCTAATATCTGGGTTATTGTGAGACATGCAGGATGTAATCAATGGGGGACAGGAAGGGGGGTCATTAATTGGGATCATCATTATGCTTTTGAGACAGAAAAATATTATTTGTTATATTATTGATTGAGGAGATCTTCTCTGGTCCCTGGTATTGAAACTATGGCGTCCTGGTTGATCTGCAGACATTCCAGGGTTTGACGATTTCTCTCTTTTTTCCTCTGGCGTTCCTACTGGTTGTTGGTGTGTTCACTTCCATGTCCCAGTGAAGGGCCAACAGGCTTCATCTTTCAAGCTCTCAGAAAATCCCAAATGTGCCAGAGAGCCCTGGCAGAAGCAGCTGGATCGACAAATTGACCCTACCCTATAAATAAATAGCCTTTAAGTAGAAATACGGCTATCGCTTTTCTTTTATTAAAATGTGTTTTCTTTCAGTTCATTCCGTTTGGGTTGGGGTTACCCAGATAGCTGTGGGCGCACACACTTTAATGTCCTTGGACATCTGCCCTGGAAGAATCTCCTGGCACTCGAGTATCTCAACGATACGGTTAGACAAAATGCAGATATTTTTTTATTCAATCTGCCGTTAAAACAAATATCCAGCAAGAGCTCTTAATAATCAGTCATATCTTTAACGTATTGACATGTGAGATCGCTGATCAGACAGTACAGTGCCAACAAATAATTATTAAATAATGAATATAAATCTGAATATGAGGCAAAGGTACAGAAACAGATGTTTCACCAGTTCACAACGTGTGTTCAACCAACCAAGAATGACAGCACTTTCAAAGTTCCTTCGCCACATTTAATGTGAGCCTAGTATTTATTGGGATTCTACTTAAAATGCAGATGTCATGAAGCTAGTATTTAGTCGTAAATTGGAGTCTGCGAACCCATTGACATCACTAACATCTCGGCATCATCCTTTAAGATGCTTTACAAAGCCTGTACCTTCACTGTCCCTTGTGATTTCTTTCTCTTTTCAATTCCTCTTTAAATTGCTTTATCGTTCTGTGTTTTTCCCCCTTATCTCTCTCTATCTCTCTCCATCCGTCTCTGCCTCTCCCAGGTCTCTCCGTTGCCTGCTGTAGGCAATCAGGTCTTCCAAGCATTATCCATGTCACACGCACGTCACGCCTACGCCAGGGTGATGCCTGGCCGTCGCCCGCTGTCATGACCACTCTTCTCCCACTCCCTTCCGTTCTCTTCGCCCGTGTGTCTCCGTCCGTTCATTTTGCCTATCCCAAAATGTCGTTCAGAAAAAAGTAGCGGTTTCCGAGTGAAACGGAGGACAACACTCTGACGCTAGCAGTTTAGCATTCCCCCCGTTGGGCCCTTTCTGACAGCCGGCCTCGGCCCTGTGCAGCGCCAGCTATGAAAAACATCTCGCTGACTCCTTAAATGTGACAGTAATCCTCAGCCCGTTTATGATTCTGGGCATCAACCCACGGACCTTCTAGAAAGCTACAATGAGGAACCAGATGTTTTAGGAGGGTCCTTGTTTCTGAGGGCATGTTTGTAATAGGTAAAGCCTTGTTCACGCATCTCTGTAGGAAATCTGCCGAACCTGACATCACAGCTTAACAAAGTGCTTAGGGGCCGCCAACAATGTGTTCAGTTATTTTCCAGCTTTCACAATGCAGTACTCTTAGACCAGGTCCAAGTACGTAAACACACACACACACTTTGGGACTATAAAAGCCTAGAACTACGAAGGCTATCCCCTTCACAAATATGCTGAGCCTTTCCGCCTTTTTGAATGAATCCCGAACCAAGTCAATAAACACGGTGGCAATATGTCACAATAATCTATTTGAAAAACGGGCAGATTGTTCAGACAATTCTGTGTGGGTGAATGAGAGGTGTGTATTTATTCAGACATAGCAAGGCGGGTCATCTCTCTGGCACTAACAAAACAAGATACACCCGGTATTGTTAATTGGTTCCACTGAGAAAACACATAATAGGAATTCTATCATACACACAAACAAACAAACACAAAAACAAACACAATAACACACACGCACACACAATAACACACACGCATACACACACACATGCAAACAATAACGCACACACACGCACACACACACATACACACACACACACACACAAACAAACAAACAATAACACACACGCATATACACACACACACGCGCGCACACACACACACACACACACATACACACGCACACACACACACACACACAAACAAACAAACAATAACACACACACACACACAATAACACACACACACACTTATCTGTGCAGCCGTTGTTATTGGTGGGTCTATTAGGCATCCCTGCCATCTGCTGGATTGATCCAGTTGCCTTGTGGGTCGTTCTGTTCTCCTGGTGTCTTGAGTCGTGACTGGCACTACGTCTGGCTCAGGTTTGTATGCGTGCATACTTGTGCATACGCGTGTCTCTGTGTTTGCTCAAGTGCACCGGTGAAACAGAAAGACACATATGTTCAGCGGTTAAAATACTATAAAGACAACAGTGACCTCAAGCTGTAGAATTGATCAACTACAGATAAATCAACTATGTTTATTGTTATTCATTCATACAAATATATACATTTATAAGTGCTTAATTGAAGAAGTGAGAACGTAATTTATTATAAGCGGGTGTGATTTGAGGATTGAAGAACAGGGTTGAAGGTATGAGGATTCAAGGTTTTGGAGAAGACTTGAGGAAATAAAACACAAGCAAATAATTTCAGGATGTAGTCCTTATTTGTGTGAGTTAAGGTAATTTGTTTCCCAGATGCCTCATCTGTTTGTCACAGAACGTCTGGTAACAACAAAAATTTTGAAACTAATCACATTCTGCCAATTTCCCTTTCTCCACTAGGGGGCAAAGTATGTGTGTTTTTGTGTACGTGTGCGCGTGCGCATCCGTCTAGCACCATCAAAGTACTTGAACCCAGGGGCGGCTCCAGACAATTTTGATTGGGGGGGCAATGAGGGGTCCTGGTCATTTCAAGGGGGGTCTCATGAAAACCAACAAAAAATACAGTGGACACGGCTAATAACTGCATATTACTGATACAAAACAACAGAAACACAGCATATCAACTACTTTGTTTTTAATTAATTAATCAATTGCAGTTTGCGAACAATATGCTCAAACTTTAATTGCCATACCCACCCCCATGGCAGAAAACTTATTTACAAAATAGTATCTATTCTCATACTCTCACCACCTTTTGATTGCCCTACTTCTGTACAGTCTCCTCCTGTCCTCTTCTCTCCTCTCTTACTCTCCAGTCTCCTCCTGTCCTCTTCTCTGCTCCTCTTATTCTCCAGTCTCCTCCTGTCCTCTTCTCTCCTCTCTTACTCTCCAGTCTCCTCCTGTCCTCTTCTCTCCTCTCTTACTCTCCAGTCTCCTCCTGTCCTCTTCTCTCCTCTCTTACTCTCCAGTCTCCTCCTGTCCTCTTCTCTCCTCTCTTACTCTCCAGTCTCCTCCTGTCCTCTTCTCTCCTCTCTTACTCTCCAGTCTCCTCCTGTCCTCTTCTCTCCTCTCTTACTCTCCAGTTTCCTCCTGTCCTCTTCTCTCCTCTTACTCTCCAGTCTCCTCCTGTCCTCTTCTCTCCTCTCTTACTCTCCAGTCTCCTCCTGTCCTCTTCTCTGCTCCTCTTACTCTCCAGTCTCCTCCTGTCCTCTTCTCTCCTCTCTTATTCTCTAGTCTCCTCCTGTCCTCTTCTCTGCTCCTCTTATTCTCCAGTCTCCTCCTGTCCTCTTCTCTCCTCTCTTACTCTCCTGTCTCCTCCGCTCCGCAATCGCAGTTTGAATAGAAACAATTGTAAATCTTTATTTATATAATTGTTTTAATCAGGAAGGGGGTGGGGGGTAAAATGGGGGGTCAAGGCGTTTTTTGGGAGGGTCTTGAGACCCCCCAAGACCCCCCCTGGCGCCGCCGGTGCTTGAACCCCCAAAATTAATGTCTAAAAACAATCAAATCGTTAGCATTTACCTAAGCTTTGTAAAGCGAGATACAGACTCAAGCTATGGTTGGTATGACTGCGAGAGTGGTGAAAGGGGACCGAGAGGAAAGGGGGGGGTGGCAGGGACTTATAATGAAATAAGCTCCGCCCACATAACCATTTGACTCTCTGTTAACATGATCTTGTGTGGGTGCAACACTGCCCCTCCAGCACAGAGACAAGAGGGTACCAGAGTTTAAGCACCTCTTTAAAAAATCTCAACTGAATTTGCACACACCCACACCCACCCA